GATTTTGAGATGTTTTTGACCTAAATTTGGTAAGAATTTGTTAAACCTTTTTTAAGTCTCAAAGGTGTCAAGACATGTTTGCGCTACCTTAAACCACAATATTTTGTTGAGTTTGGTTTGTCGTTGTATTTTTTGTTTTTTTTTTCAAAATGACAAATTCTCAAGCCAGAATAAAGGTTAGAACAAATACTATTAGTGTGGCTGCCACATTTGTGTTGTTCTCTGAAAGTCACTAGAGGGAGTCAGAGAGCTTTTCCAAAATTGTATTCCTTGCACCGATACTGACTTTCCGTCAGGTGGCATTGGTGCTTTCACCAAGACTCTGATGACATCACACATACTGTGTGTGTGTGTGTATATATATATATATATATATATATATAGGGTATACATATAGGTTAAATGTATGACAATCCAGTCCATATTTTATGCAAGACACCCCCCAAAACACATACCCACAAATCACCTGTTTCTAAAAAGCAGAAGCCATGAAATCATCCTTGAACCCTTCCATCATCATTCATTATTCCCTACCCCTAATAGTCTAAGCTAAAATAAGAGTATATATCTGCTGGCTAAAACACTAGCACACTCACTAACCCTCTGTCCTTTAGTGCATACTGCATAACCAATGACATTTGCCCCGTTCGAGGTGCCTGTGGGCGACAGGGCTGGAGGCTTCCAGCAGACTTGTAGGACCCCCGGTGCCTGCCCACACAGTACCCGCACATCCTGTGGAGGCATAGGAGGACCTAGGAGTTGAGGGGGAAAACATCATTAGAGAATACACATGTAGTAATTTCTTAAAAATATAATAAAAAATACTATGCAAGTGCAAACAAGATAGACGGAGAGGTTCAAGCACGCTGTAGATGCATAAATAGTAACTAAAACAACCGTGCACAAAAAAGAAAGCGTGGAATGGTTTACTGAAAAGAAAACTGTGGGTTCATTTTTTATACGTTTAATTTATCCTGTGTTTAAAATCCATGCAGATTAATTCCATACAAAATAATCTGTTTTAGAAAAGAGTCAAAGATTTCAATTTATAATTTGATTAATCACAGGGAAGTAATAGATTAATCATCTTTGTAATAAATTGCAATTAATCATGATTATTCAAGATAAACCATATTCCTTAATATGACATTCCCAATATTAGATATATTGCTGAAAGATAAGACAAATAACAGCAGGTAGACGTTTGGGTGTCACACCCATTTTTGTTTTATTTTTTCTCACTGGAGCTTGTGGGATTTTAGTGCATCTTGAAAATGGCATGTAGAACGGGTCAAAGGTTACTTTCAAAACTTTGGCGAAGCCGTTGACCACAACTACATTCATCAGTCTATAGTCCCTCACCATCCATTTAACAATTGTATCAGTCTGCTCGTCAGTTGTAGACTTACTGCCCTGAGCTGGGCCACTGACCTACACATAAAAACACACGCTGATGGTATATTAAATTTTAGAAGCTTCGGTGAACATTAGATATACAGTTGGAGTATTTTTCTGTTTGCACTAAAATGTATTAAAATTTTTAGCTGATTAATTTAACAAATTAATGGAATTAACATCTTTTAAACCCAACTGTTAATTTAGACAGTCCCCAAGGTAAAGTATAAGAGAAAACACATAGTTATAGTGGACACTGCCTCAATAAACTAAGCATCAAAGGTACATATTTCTTGTAGTATAGAGCAAAATGTTTTATTTTGGTGTGCAGTACCCTAACCTTAGAGCCTTTTACTTTATGAAAAGTTAAAACAAAGGCAAACAAGAAGAAAGTGCTAACATCGGGGCTTCCTCAGAAAAAAAAAAAAAGAACTGATGTCTCAGCATGCAGGACACAATCCAGAGGGACCATCTACAGTCTGTCCTGTCTTCCATCCACTGGATAAAACATGCACAACCCCATTTGAGCAAAAACACATACACTGAGACAATGGTAACTTTCATGAGCAATGGACGGCCATTGCTTTATAAAGAACAGATAGTTCAGGGCTAAGCTGTAGGCTTAGGAACTGACTCATCACAAGCATAACTAATGTTATCGTTGGTGCTATTATAAAATTGTGTGCAATGACAAAAAAAGACTAGGGTAAAATTGCATTTTAATTTGGTCTGAAAAACATTTTAGGACCTAATCAGATTCACAGCTGGCAATCTTTCTGCATATGTGCTTGTTTATTCTCAGAGCCACAACAAAAATGCAGTTTTTCCCACGTGAACTTAGATGACATCATCATTCTCAGTCCCATGGATATAAATCTCTGCCATCCCTGTACAAAGGTTTTCAGGAGAAAACATGTCATTCAGTGCTAAAGATGTTGGAAACCCAGCACGGTATTGATGTTTTATTCTGACCTGTTCTGCAATATGGTGTTGGACCTGGACAAAATACACAACAGTGGCATAATAAGGCATCGCATTACTCATGATATTATTAGCCCCAGGAGAATAAAATGACCCAAAAGTATCCACAAGATATGACTCATCATTTAATTTGCATGTGATAAGAAGAATCATTAGCAATTAATGCACTCATGCTTTTGAACATTTGTTGAAATCTAAATTTTTCTTAGGACAATGAAGCGACAGTAGCATCACTTTGCCTGTGGTTGGTAGTTTAGCTTAAATTTTCTAGTTGTCAAATAAGAGGCTAACTAGGCTACGTGATGCAAGAGCACAGACTCTGTTCTTGAGAGGTGATCTCATGACTGGACTGGATCGGTCTGTTGTGACTGCACTCTGTAACGTTATGAACTTTGCAACATTCACTGCCACATTCTAGGGTAGTCACCCTAGAAGTCACCTAGTGGTGACTTTGCCCTAGTTGCATCTCTCATGCTAATATACTTAGGCTAACCTTTACAAACACTTGAGTATTTGGTGTGTATGACCATCGTCTGCAATAAAACATATTGACCCTGTAGGAGAATATAAATAAATGTTGCTGACCTGCAGACTGGGTGCAGAACTCCACACCAGCTTCTTTCCTCTCTCTCTGCTCCAGTGGCAGTTGCCAGGGCACTTGGTGCGGCTGTGCCACCACCGTCACTTTGTACACCGTCAGGGGTTTCAGGTTGTGGAAGCGTAGTCTGTATCTGCCTGGCTTTACCACTGCATGCTCCACCCCATCTAGGAACACAGTGTGGCCATAATTGCTGTTGCTGGGCAACCAGGAGAGCTCGGCAGTGTCACGCTGGATGTCATCCACTCGCATACCACATGGCGCTACAACCACGTTGGCTCCCACCAGCAAGGTGCACCGCAGCTCATCTGATAAGCCCCGGTCTGTTGCACATTGTACAGATACGCGATGGACACAGCCATCCAAGTCCAGCTTCTCCAACAAACACTTGGTCCGGCCACCATACTGGATAGTGGCACGAAGTTCACCGTCTACTAGAACGTTGTATCCAGAGATGGTACCCCAGCCAAAAGGCACTAGTGGAGGATCCCAGGCCACAATGACGCTCCGTGCCAGCTGCTTAATCAAGGTGATCTTTCGGGGATAAGGCACAACATCTTCAGCCAGGTCCTCAGGGTCAATAGGCCCCCCTGTGCCATTGCTACAGGGCACCAATGCATTAGATGAGCCTAAGAGGCCGTCCTGGGAGGCACCGCCATCTACTGGCACCAACGCCAAAGACATATGATCCAGTGGGCCCAGGTTTTCCCCACCTTCCCCAGGTGGTTTTTCTTTGTCCTGTACAAATTCTACAAAGTTGGATGGAACAAGTCCACGCTGGCCATCCAGCAGCTCTCCTGTGACACAGAAAATCACAAAAAAAAAAACACCAAAATATATATTTCACACCATAATTTAATGTAGTTCAAATAAGCAAAAATAGAGCAGTAGCTGAGTTCAGAAAAGCAAGGGGAGCAAAAAAAAACCTACTCTACCAACCACAGCCGGCCAGGTCAGGTTTTAACCCTGCGATCCTCTGATAAAACGCCAGATACTCCTAACAGTAGACCACAGGCTGCTAAGAAGATGTCATGTCTACCTAAGAAGGCCAGTCAGTACCTAGTAATCTTATAAATATATCGGTATATTCTGCCCTATGGTCGCGGAGTAAAACGTTGGAGGTTTACTGTGTTAATTGTTCTGTATTACGTATTATCCCCACAGACATTACATGCACCGCATGAAAAAGCATCAAGAAATCTGTCGGCTTATATTTGCTTTTATTCATGAAGAAAATTAAAGCCATTAATTAGGACTTAAAAACCATGTGTCGGAGGACTGTATGTTGGTGTGTGTAAGTGTATTATTTATTGTAGATTTGTGTTGCGTGTGTTTGCTGATGATTAAGCTGAGTTCCACTGGATTAGTCATCAAGCTAAAAGGGACCACAGTCCCATCTTGTCAACAGCTTGGTCTAAGGCCCAAGTCTCCTCCTACATGGTAAATACAAGGCTCCTCCACAATGCCGTGCAATCTCACCGCCCACAGTCAATGAATCAGCTGCAGCTGAGAGCGACTGTGTCTGGAGCTGTCTGCACTGACTGCAAGGATGGCCGGATCGGGGCATCCGGATTGGCTTTCTTCGCATATTTGAGAAATTACACAATAAACGAAATAAGCGCAATAAAATATAAGAAACTTTCAAGGAATGTATCACGTTTACATTTATGCATTTAGAGGAGGACTTACAGAGGAGGGCTAACGTTAATCAAGCATGTGGTTCCTCTGGGAATCAAACCCAGGACCCTCCTCTTGTGAGGCAGGCATGCTAACTGCCACACTATGGAACCACAGTAAATTGAATGGATGAATGAAAAATTAAAATTATGCAAACTATCAAATTTTTGATGGTCGCACTATAAAAGCTGGTTTTATTGATAGTTATAAAATATATGTTGTAAAATTGACTGATTTGAATGAAAGGAATGTTATACACACATTTATATGTGTTACAACTATTTGAATTAGTTTGCTCAAAGTTTTTTTTTTAAGATAAAAACTGTGTTTATGTTAGAAACATCACTTACATACCTTATTTCAATGTAATAAGTTCAGAAATAAAACCTAAAAATGTATTTTTTTAGATTTTATGTCCCAAATAAATCTTGGCATTGTGTTGTGTAGATGTTCGGAACAGCACCAAACTGTTAAATATGATTCCGACTCCCCATTAAAATACAGTAAAAAGCTTAATAAAACTGAAACGTTGTTGCTGACACAACTTGTTTTTTTACTTTCGTCTCGTCGTGAGTTAATGAAGGTAGATCATGACGGTGCTTGTTGTGACTGTTCCTGTCACGTCAGCAGAAACTCTGAGCAGCCAGTTGTTCCATAGAACTTATTAACCAAACAAACTATTAGACATGACACTTTTGTCCCCTTGGTTTATCTAACCTTCATAGAAGCCGTCATCGTCCATGTTGCCATAAACATACAGATACTTTCCGGCCACAAGGGGGAGCTCTGCTTCAGGGTGCTCATTTGGTCCATCGTAAGGATTATAACTAAAATAAAAACATAATAATAATTGACTTGCATGAAATACTAAATTATAAAGTATAAATACAATTTTACAAAAATACAGTGGTTGTACCTGTAGCGGGCAGTGCAGAGGCGGACCTGGCCTGTATAGCGTGGCTTGGACCTGGGTGACTGGTTGGCCTCATCCTCCATCTACAAATTGACAATAGAATTGTAATGATTTGTAATGACGACTCCTGAGCGTAAATGTATGTTAAAACCATTGCTGTGGGAATGTGATCTCACTTCGACACACCTCTGATAGGGTGGGCTTCAGGGGGCTGCCGGGATGCGCCGTCGTCACGGTTCCTGGTTTGACAGACAGCAATTCTGATCGTTGTTTATCTCCAGCTTCAGTTGAGTGGAAGGCGTGCCCGCAGATCAGTGTCGGTGCATTTGCCACGTTCTCATCGCCTGGACGTCCAAAGCAAACAGAAAATCAACTGTCATTCTGTCTGCAGCCATTTGCTGCGCATTGCACAGCTATTGATCTCCTGTTGCAGCAAGGAGGGTGGGGACAAACACTTTGCATGGAAGAGCTCGTCCATACTTATCATGTTGTCAGAACTGCCCTTGTCCTTAAATGCCACCAAGGACTATACCAGTGGAAAGGAAATATAAAAAAGGTAGTTTTGCATCACAACTGCATGTATTACAGCAGGAAATTAGGTGAACTAAATGCATCCGATGCATCACTGGCTTTCTTGCGGTTTTTATGAAGTGACTAATGTCATGCATTAGCGCTAAAGCATCAGAGAATTTCAGGTGAGGGGGAGGATAGCTAGCACTTCAGAAACCCACAGCCTGTGCCAGACCTTATGAATCTACATCACTGATATGGCTCTATTTGCTGGCTCTGCAAGCAACGCTGCGTGTTGTTAGAATACTAATGTGTGAAACCACATTCATGTCATACATCAGCTCTGGGATCAACTGGAGAGGATATTGATCAGCAGTAGCCAATATTTGCCATCAAAGCTGTCCACCTCTGGTCAGCAGTAAGCTGATCTGTGCAGGGATCAGACACGCTCTGACACTAATTTCAATCTGATAATAAGACCTTTTGATCACACATTAATACATATGCAATAGTTCAAATGTATTTATTCAGCTCTGCATTTGATAGCATTAGCAATACTGATCTACTGACTACATAATCATCAATGGAGAAAATATATATCAGTTTATCATTCTGAAAATAGTTATTTACTGACCTAAATAATATGTATTTCTTCATCTACGCAACAGTGACAGGCAAAACAACTAAATCACTCTTCTACTAATAACTAATACTGATCTAAATTCTTTAAAGAGAGAGAGAGAGAGAGAGAGAGCTGATGAAGAGGATTGTCACGTGTGCTTATCTTCAATTCTTGCAAATTTATCAGCTGCTGTGTTGAACTAAACAGGCCCAAACAGGTCACACTAAGCAGATTGTGTACAAATTGAAAGTAGACAATCATATTTTATTGTATGTACTTTTTAGGACATTTTTGTTTGTTGATGCACCTTTAGCTTTTTTTCTGATACAATATATACTATAAAATAATATATATTCTGTAGTTATAAAATGGTGGGGAAACAATGTTTTAAATTGTACTGTACTACTGCAAAAGCTGCACTCACTAAAGTTCAATACTTATTAAGGGCAGTACTACTTTTTAAAGAGTACTCAAGTCATATTTATTTTGGCTGGTAAATTAATATTGAAGACAACATTGTTTAATTTGCTCCCTGCACTATTTATTTTTATTTTAATATTTATTGTACATACATATTTGTGTTATTATTTTTGTTCATATCACTGCTATTCCTTTTGACTATAACGAGGTAAGAATGTATGACTGCATGAACCCTAAGCAAGGTTGTCCTCGACCCATATTTCATGTCTTACAATGAATCAGAATTTTAATTAAATCACAATCTTTGCACACAAATTATATTTTTTTAGTAATTAAGGGTATTTTTGAATTGTAAAAAGTTGGGAACTATACCCACAGAAAAGTCAAGATTTTATTCTATTAAATATGATTCTGACTTCATTAGAATGTTGTGAATACTAACCTACCTGTATCTAGATGAGAATCAAATTCGATGACCTCCGGTAAATTCTTCTCCAGTAAAAAAGGGATTGGGACTGTGGAAAATGTATTAATCTTTTGGATGTCCACTAACTGTGAGTGCAAGGGAAAATTCCGCAGCTCATTGGACAGCTGCTGGAAGTGTTCACTCTGTGACCTGCATCTCTGCTCCAGGTCACGAACCTTGACCTGTGACCAAAAAAAAACGAACACAGTGAAAGATGACATTAATGGGAGTAGGTGCAAAAAAAGAGAGAGATTGAATGCACAGAACAGCTATTAATCAACCACAGAAAGCTTAGTCTGCACATGAAGAGTGTTTTGGCAAATCAAATTCTTTTGAGACACGTCTCTGTATCTGTTCATTTGGATTAAACACAGAAGCAATTAGGAAAAAAATCCCCAAAGAGCCTTTTAGAGGCTTATAACAGCATGTAATATTAAACAACAGCATATAGATATTTGGATCCATGTGCATCCTAATGAAGCTATCTATTGCAGCTAAATCCTGATAGCAAAGCCTGTGCAGAAAAAGGAGTCAGAGGGGTTTTTATAACAACACAGACGTTGGCATATGAAGGAGAAATGACAGTAAAAAAAATGATCGTACACCTACACAAAAAACCTGGATTCACTGGGAACACCACGGGGTGAGGAAACTGTCAAAGGAACAAAATAAATACCTGAAACATTTTGTTCTTATTGTTCTGTCCAGATTCAAAAAAGGAAGGAGAAATTAAAAGAAAAGAAAGAAAGAGTGGAGCTAAACAACAAAACATGTGTTATTGATGAAGTGGAGGAAAATGGATATTAAACAACAAAAGTAGCAGTTAACATAAACCAATGAAAAGTAATAAAGTTTTGACCATAAACAATTTGGACCATTAATATAAAAGATTGAATTTGTAGGTTTTTCTTAACTGAGGCCAGTAATTATGACAATGAAATTTTACAGTAATTATAACATGAAAACAACAACTTTTCACCATACCTCTAACAAATGCACTGTTTCCTCATGCTCTTGATCAAGTTGTGCCTGAGCCTTGGGGACGGAAACACACAAAAAAAAAAACAGTTTGAGCTACAAAGACAGTCAAAAACAATAACTCCCACACTTGTTCTGATGACCAATTTTAAAATTAAATCCTACATTTTAATCTTTTGACTGAATTGTAATTGTAGTTCTGACACCAAATAATTCAATAGAACTGTTAAAAAAAATCATTTTAGGTTAGTTTTAGTCAACCAAATCACAATTATTTTCACCAACTTAGTTCAGTTTCATTAAGTTAACTATGTTAATGTTAAAAAAATGTTATCATTATAAATATTGTTATCTGACGATAATTGTAGTCTTTTTTGACATATTCTACTTCATATGTTATCCTGGTATCTTCATTATTAATGCTTCGGTCCTGTGGTGAATTTCAGACTGACTGTCTGCAGATGGCGAATCAAATTTCTAACGTTCGTTTCTTAAATAGTCGTTCAACACAGTTCACAGTGTGTCATGTTGTCGCTAACGTTAAAAGTATGTCACGCTTCATCACAAAGTGTTTATTCCCGCTCCAGACTTCATACCATCTTATGTTTATACCACTTCCGACACGCATTCACTATAGTTGAATGTTTGTTTAGTTGCCCCGCCTTCCAGTCAACAAACATCGCTCCGATTGGATCTAGAGCTCATTTCCACTTAGTTTATATCAGGATATCAGCGTTGATTGGACTTCGATTTTATTTGTTTGTTTTTATTAGTTGACTGAAACGTCAATATACTTCGCCATCCACATTCAGCCCTACACTACTTTCTATTAATTTTTGGCTCAGAAAATAAGGTCGTTGCCTTAGTGTTTGGCGAAAAGTATAATTATTATATAAATATGTTTTTTTTATTTCATATTAATGCAAAGACACACAGGAAGGTGACTCACGGTGACATCAAACAGACAATTACTCTTGGTACTGTTTGTTAAAAACCTTAAGAAATCTAGATACTAAAGACCAAAAGATGTTTTTCAGTTACTCTGCATTTTTCTGCAGATGGCAGCAGAAACTGCATGTCTGACAGAATCTGCAGATTTTTTTTTTTTGGACAACTTTCTGAGGTCTTTATATTTCCTGAGGCAGCAGCGATTCAGTGACAGTGATTCAGCACAAACCTGGTTACTGACACATCAGTGAGTGAACCGGCTGACGGCACAAAGCATGAAGTCAGAGCTCAGCGAGAAAAGCAATAAGTCACCCCGGTACTGATGATGAGGCTCTTGCTTTTATTCATATGGACCGTACCGTTTGCAGCTGATTGATCTCCTTCTGCTTGGAATGAAGGGCCACCAAGGCTCGTTCATGCTCCGTCTGTAGCTGCTGCTTCAGCCCGACAGTCTCATGCATATGCTATAGAGAGGCACAGATACAAAGGGGCGGAGGGAGGGAGAGAAAGGGGGGTGCGGGGAGTGAGGATGTGGTCATGGAGACTTTTATTGACAGTATCCTAAAAGAATCGCTGACCATAATCTTCACCAGTCTCTGTGGAGGGTGTCATATTGTGCGGTGTGTCACATTTTTTCTGTTAGGCGTGACATACAAAGTGTCGCTGCTCTCCCTGGGACGTGTTAATCTAACACTGACAAGAAGACATTTAATGTAGAACATCAAGAGCTTCAGGTGAGTGTGCAAAGATTGTGATGTCAGAATTTGGACATCAGACAATAGAAATTCCAAGATAGTTAAGGTTATAGGTCATTTGTGTAGATTCACCAGCAGCTGCCACACTGTCAGAAACAGAGTCAAGAGTTAAGCTATCTCTGCAGACGTTAGAAGTAGGGACTGCTTACAGTATAGTCCGATACTCATCAGTTTTCCCCAGTATTTTCTACTACTTCAAAAAGGCAAAAAGAAAAGCCTCTTTATGTCTTAGTGTGGCTCCGAGGTGTCTTAACCAGGCAGCTGCCGCTTTGCATAATCACAGAGAAAGCCTAAGCAGAAAAGGACTGAACTGTGAGACTGACAGAAAAAGCTTTTCCAAAAGCCATTTTGTTTAATCCTTGACTAGTCAGCTGGCTCATGATGAAGTCACATACATTTTCAGTGACTGCTGATGTTACTTTAAGAACAACATGCGGCTCCAGTGGAGCAACGCAAGGAAAATGGATGCAGACGTTCGTGCAGCAATTCACTAACTCTTTCTGAGAAGAAATCTGGCAGATATTTGATTAGTGAGTCCAGTCGTGTTCCCTGAAAAATTATTCTTCAACACATTAGCTAGATGTCTGTGTAGGTTCTCAGTCATCCAGATCATCTTATCCAAAAATAGTTACATCCAGGGCAACTGGATGGAGTAGGTTTGTTGAAGACGTTCCACCTCTCATCCCGGAGGATGAAGAACGGAGGTTAATCTTCAAGAAACATACTCCGTCCAGTTGCCCTCGATGTAACACATTAACTACTAGGTTTACAACTGAAAATCCCTGAGAGAGGTGAAGTAAGGCCAACTGGAACGAATGTTGTAAAACCGCTGAACACAATGAACAACAGCGGCTCCCTCCACAGGGAATTAATATACGAAATAATGGCCTTATTTAATAATAATACAAATAATAGCTCTAGCACCATTCAGGATACCCCAGATGCTTTACATGAGCCTGGGCAGGGGATTTGGGGGTGGGATAAGAAGGAACAGATTAAAGGGAAGAGAGAAGAAAACAATAACAGGAAAAGGAAACAGAAAAAATAGACTAAAGAAAAGGATGGACTGACAGTTTTGTGACAGATGGGGAAAAGCTGTGCTAACGAGGTTTTTGGGGATGAATGTGTTGGAGCATTGCAGATATTGGGAGGAAGGGAGTTCAAGAGTGTTGGTGCCGCCACACTGAAGGCTCTGTCCCCGAAACGTCTTAGTCTAGTCCTAGGGATAGAACTGTTCCAAATAAAGAGTAAAAGTGTTGATCAGTCAGAACGGTGACAAAGACTGAAGAAGAGCCAACACCGATAACTCAAGACACCGTAACAAGCATCTTTGCCAAAGTTCCGGATAAAGACAGAGCCTGAAAAGTGGGTAATTACGTAAAAGAACAACCCCCCAATCCCTCCACTCCCCCACCTACCCTCTGTACTCAAACTGGACGGGGTAATTTTCTCTAAATAGCCTTTCGTCTTCGTGATCAATACGCAATAAGGAGCAGACAAACCTTTCCTTGGCAGCATTAAGGAGGAGGACAGTTTCTCTGTCAAATATCGCCACAAACAGACAATCGATAGGAGACACAGGGAGGCTGGGATTTGTAATGAGAAGGCTTCTCACGCCGCCGTGAGACCGGCTCTGATTACTATTGGCAGAAACAGAAGACGGTGGAGGGGGAAAAAATGTGTATGAAACACGTGATAACTTTACTTCAACTTTCCAGGAAAGTTTCCTTAGAAAACACACACATGCTGAACACAGTGCCAGAGATTTGAATGATTTTCTATGAGGCAGTTTGGGTTTATTTACAATTACACACCCTTCAGAAAATCTTTGAAATCTTTATATCAGTTTTTTTTTTCTTTTTTCACCCACCTGTTGTTTAAAATAATGTTTGTTTTTTTTTACCCAAGTGCTTAACCCTAGAGTTTTTGCATTCCAACTGGGGGTGTCTGGAAATGAACCCACAACCCTCTGCCCATGAGTCAACCACACGATCTACTGAGAGACAGCGAACCCAGAACTACACTTAACTTATATTCTTAACATAATACTTAAGAGACTTCTAAGTTCAAAAGTATAGAGAAACGCAACCACAGACACTTCAGAGAATCCCTAACCTTTGCCCCCCCACAAATAAAAAGTGATGCCGACAGTAAACAGTTCTTTAAATAACCTGATGATGAGTGGTGTTTCATTTTGGGTGTGATTTAATTTAAATGATACGATGTACTTGTCACTTTCAGATGATTCCCAGCAGGAAGGGGAGCCGGTAACAAGGAAAAGCCTGACCCCCGCTCCCTCCCCTTCTGAGAACCAGGGAGAGGGACACTCACCCTGACACAAGTGTGATGCAAAGTAAAGAAATTTAAAAGTTGTCTGTGACATCTGTATCGAAAATACTGAAATAGTACATGGGTCTAGTAATAAATAATAACACAAATAATTGACACTGACAGATTTTTAATTACAACCTGCCAAAATGCTGAATAATGTTTAAGGTTATTGCATTATTATAAATATTACATTAATCACAGCAACAGGTCATGACCCCTGCATGCTCTTTCTTTCTGAATAATAACCAGACTGAAGATAGTAAACTGGATTTAGTTTCAGCAGTTGACTGTCTGGTGTGTGGTACAGGGCTCACTTTTACAAATACACAGGTTTTACATTCTTTTACAGGCGGAGGTGTGGTTTTATTTTCACAACTGCTCATTTACTGTTCTATTGTTTTTAAAATAAGAAACCTAGAGTCTTTTGAAGATGAAACAAATAAAAAAGAGTACAGTAAAGGCGGAGATGTCTGACCTTAAGAACCTGCTCCAGATTCTCTACTCTGCCCTGCAGTCGGCTCCTCTGCTGCTGGGCCACGTCTCTCTCTCGGCTCACTGCAGCACAGGTCTGTCTCAGCTGTTCATAATCTGACCGCACCTGCATGGTCACAAACAGACGGCACCATGAAAAAAGCCTCTGGATTCAAAACATAAAGCCTGTATTTTAGTACAAATGTAAAACATGTGGCCATGTTTGACTGTCCTGCCACTGGAGGCAGTGCTGAGTTCAGAGTTTGTGTCTTGTACAACATCAGAGGAAGAAACAGTGGTGGTCTGTGTGGACATTAAAGACAAAGAAGGAAAACGTGGTGGTCTATGTGGACATTGAAGACAGAGCAGGAGATGGTGATGGTCTATGTGGACATTAACGACACAGCAGGAGACGATGATGGTCTATGTGGTCATTAAAGGCAAAGCAGGAGACGATGATGGGCTATGTGGACATTAAAGGCAAAGCAGGAGACGGTGATGGTCTATGTGGACATTAAAGACACAGCAGGAGACGATGATGGTCTATGTGGCCATTAAAGGCAAAGCAGGAGACGATGAGGGTCTATGCGGACATTAAAGGCAAAGCAGGAGACGATGTTGGTCTATGTGGACATTAAAGGCAAAGCAGGAGACGATGATGGTCTATGTGGACATTAAAGAACAAAGCAGGAGACGGTGATGGTCTATGCGGACATTAAAGACAAAGCAGGAGGCAGAGGGGGGCTGTGCAGACATTGAAGACAGAGCAGGAGATGGTGGTGGTCTATGTGGTCATTAAAGACAAAGCAGGAGATGGTGATGGTCTATGTGGACATTAACGACACAGCAGGAGACGATGATGGCCTATGTGGACATTAAAGACACAGCAGGAGGCGATGATGGTCTATGTGGACATTGAAGACAGAGCAGGAGATGGTGATGGTCTATGTGGACATTAAAGCCACAGCAGGAGACGATGATGGTCTATGTGGCCATTAAAGGCAAAGCAGGAGACGATGATGGTGTTTGTGGACGTTAAAGAACAAAGCAGGAGACGGTGATGGTCTATGCGGACATTAAAGACAAAGCAGGAGGCAGAGGGGGTCTGTGCAGACATTGACGACAGAGCAGGAGATGGTGGTGGTCTGCGTGGACATTAAAGACAAAGCAGGAGGCAGAGGGGGTCTGTGCAGACATTGACGACAGAGCAGGAGATGGTGGTGGTCTATGTGGTCATTAAAGACAAAGCAGGAGATGGTGATGGTCTATGTGGACATTAAAGAACAAAGCAGGAGACGGTGATGGTCTATGTGGACATTAAAGACAAAGCAGGAGGCAGAGGGGGTCTGTGTGGACATTGAAGACAGAGCAGGAGATGGTGGTGGTCTGCGTGGACATTAAAGACAAAGCAGATGGTGGTGGTCTGCGTGGACATTAAATATGTGAGAAGATATGGGAGAAAATATGTGAATGGAGAAGTCCACATCCATATCTGTTGTTGTCCTTTCGTTGTCTTCTTCCTGCTGTTACTTTGATGAGCATGGATGAGCAACACTGCTCAGTGTAACTGTCATGTGTGAGGGACACGTCCCCAAGCTCTCAGAAAGCCAACTAAATTACAGCTATTGCAGATATGCATTATGTGATGAGAGTGGAGATACTGTACATCAAGATGCCTGAAATAGCAGCACAGAGCCCTAATGAAAAATCATATATAGCCATTTGGTCTTAAAGAAGGACGGTGTCAGGTAGTTTTTATGAGATCTGTCCTTTCAGGAGACTTATTACCCACACCCATGAATCAAGGACATGGCTTTTTCCTGTTGGTCCGGGGGTTGATTGGAAGTTCACACTGGGAACAGAAATTAATCAGCACATCTCTATTCCCTTGATGAGACAGAGCTGCTGACTGGATCATTCTGTATCTGGGCTTCTTCCTCAGTCACTGGCCTGAAGCTAAAGCAGCTTCTTCTTAAGATGTCCCTCACAGCCACCAGCAGGACCCTCCCTCTGACATCACCTCATTAAATAACCAAAAAAGACCAGTGCACAATAGGTAAGACTAATGTGAACAAAGGGCTACTGCAAAGGAAACAGTTCCATTAATATAAAGACATTTATGGCCGCCTCTGAGGCTGCACAGCCCTAACATCATCTGAACGACATCATTACATGTGTGTAGGATTTTTATACGGTAGAAATTCAAAGATGACCTATTGATTATTACATTAAAAAAAGGAATGGAAAAAATAACTGAAATTAAGACATGACAAGAGCAGGTTATAAAGTTCAACTGTTGTAAGACCAATAGCTTCACAAAACACTTAAAATGCATGAGTTCATTTTAGAACATAAAATAAAATCATACCATATACTGTAAGCCATTTTACACTCAAATCTATTTATCGCTAATTCTTTATTGTTAATTAAAAATATATAAATGTATTTAAAACTAAAAAGTTAAAGCAGGGCTAACACATTGGTTATTTTTTTGTTGCAAAATAAATTAGTTGGGTTTTTTTTTTAGTTATAATTTATCAAGTGCATGGTATGCAATAATTCATATATAGAAGTAGCTAACTGGTAGTCAAATCTGGCCCACTGAACCGACTAATCAGGCCCGCAACTGGATCCCAAAATAAACATCAAATAATAATGTTAGACAAAAATGTGAATTTTTATTTTCATTTTATTTGTGTGTCCAGAAAGATCCTGCACCTCTGAAAAATATAGTAGATATACAGCATAATAAACAATGTTATTCATGAAAATGCTGCTTAGCTTGCTAACATGCCTCCTTGTGATTTAGTTGCCTCTGTGCAGAGAAAATTATATTATTGTCATTTAATTTCTAACCACCTGAAAAATGCAATTAGTTAATTTGAAAATGATATGTAATTTTCAATTTGCACTGATGCAGCAATACACCAACACATCTATTGCTGACAACAACTACCCAGTGAATGTTAATTAAAACAATGTTTTAATGCAGACACACGATCAGAGAAAAAAACGTGTCGTCTACATTAAACCCACTCCTGACGAGCACAGAGGGCTTCAGGAGAACTTTTTTTTGGTGCTCGCTCAACACATTTAGCCAAGGCAGGATTTGAACCTGTTATCGGTTGATAACAGCCTGATCCTATTACCACTGGGCCACAGGCTGCCACTCCTGGGCCCATGACTCATAGCATTGAGACAAATATACAGTATATTATGGGGCCATGATGGCTCTAAACAGATAAACAGTATGTTTTGTGCTGTTTCTAAATGTAGTTAGCTTGGACGTCTCTGTGTGGATATGTGAAAAAGATCTTTTCTGGGACACACCAACTGAACACGAGCTATGTGGGCCACACTGAGGATAAAAAAAAAATCTAAAATTACTAGAATAGCTATATGTTTGCGAGAACAGAAATATTAGGACCAGTATAAGATAAAAAAAAAGTTTAGGAGAATAAAGCTATACATTTATGTTTCTGAGAATAAAGTCATAGGTTTAAAGATAATAAAGACATATAACTAAGATACATTTTCTGTTCTATATTTGTGATTTACCAAATTTTTATGGGAAAATGCTAAGAAACAAATGTCAAAGTAAAACTCTAATCTACAAAAATATGCTAGAGCTACATAGATTTAACTTCATAGAGTTGGTGGTTTTTAGTCGTTACTGTTCATCTTGATGGAGGCTTGACCAGAAAAGCAACAGTTCCATCAGATGGAATCTGTAACTGCTGCTTACAATGAAGTCGGTCCAACTTTTCAATATAATAATCGGATTAATTAAAAGACTAGCTGTGGATTAATTGTGATTAATCAGAATCATGATTACTAACTATTTGGAGAATAAACATTATAATCATAATGAATCACTATTAACACAATTAATCATGATTAATTAAGTCACTTCTAAATATGGGGAAAAAATGTTCTTAATATTTCTGGATCAGAAATGTCACGCCTTTTTATTTTATTTGTGACTAATCCAAATGATGGAATTATTAACATGGAAAATGTCCAAATAAAAATAATCGACTATGTATTAGAACGTGAATGGATGATGGGATTACAGGATACAGTGCAGGCCATTTCCCACCTGCTTTGAAAGTGTCACAAATCTAAGTCAGATTAATCTTAACAAATGATATGATATATGATAACATGATTGAAATGTTAGTTGCCTACAGAACATTAAACACAAGAGCACGGGTGTCTCACCTGATCATATTTAGATGACTTCAGGTGAAGGTCGATCAGCTCAAGCTTCAAGCGGTTTTTCTCCTGCAGAGCAGCGTGGAGCTTTGCTTTCTGAAGAAACAGAGACACAAGGTTCTTCAACCATTTCTTAGAAGGATGGAAAAATCTGCAACTTGTAGAACCTCAATGTCTATTTTTCTTCAAAAATAAATTAATAAAAATGAAGAGTCTGGACTTTAGTTAACTGATAATTTGATTTAATAATTTCTTTAGTGTATGGACTTTATGGATGTTTTGGAGTGGAAACTTAGAAACATAAAAAATGTTGAATCCAAAGTGGAAAAAATGAAAAAGAACATATCAATAGGTATCTCCAGGTGACTTGAGGTTTGGCAGCATTTAAAAGGGATTTACATAAATAAAACTGCGAGGTTCCTATCCGCACTCACCAGATTTACATTCAGAAGTTTGCATTGCCACCAGAGCTGCAGGTACTCAAGCATTACATGATTAAGACCGACTCAAACTAGGCCAGTGTTCTCCTCCTATCACAGCCCTGAGCCTCGCTACAGTCGTTTCAATGTGACTGGTCATATCCAGGCTCATTATACTGCTTAATATTGGTGCAGCCAACCTAAACTAATGACTATCATTCTGAGCGCCGCCTACTGTAACCACTGCAAAAATAATAATACAGAGTCATTTTCTTGATTTGACTTCATATGTTAGTGAACACTGTGTTGCTGAGAAGTTTTTCCATTTGCATACTGACAGGATGACTGAACTTTGAAAGGTAAAGTATGCAAAAAAAGATTAAACAATGAAGTATTGAAAAAGTAATGTCTACAGTCCTTTTATTTGGCAACTGCAACCTATTTGCCAACCTTGAAGTAGTCAGGGTTGGGGGGAGGGGCGGGAACAGCTGATCAAAAAAATCATATTAGAATTGTATATAAAACAGGCTGGTCCTGAGGTTAACACTATACAACAGTTTATTAACTGGTGGCCAGTGGATTATTATAGTGTCCATGTTGAGACACGTCTCTCACTCCAACACCATTGAAGATGGATCACATTACATCTTTATCTATCTATCTATCTATCTTTTATCAGCACAAAATGAGAAAATCCGTAACGTCAAGCCAAGAGGAAAAGGTCTATAACTAAGAGACGGTAACTGATGAGTTCCATGACAGCAAAGAGACAGTGGAGACACCTATAGAGAACAGACAGGGACAGGAAGACCTAATGAGTGGGTCCACTGGCTGCTCCTGGTGGAACTGTGTTGCCACCTCACATCACTGCACTCCGCCACACCTTCCCACTACAGCAGCAGCAGCAGTAGCCAGTAATGAGTGTGTCCTCCTGCTGCTGATGGTTAATTATAAAGACGGGCTGCATCATGGGGTGTCAGCTGCAGTCGCTCCCCGTGCCAGCACCCCAGGACATGGCTTTGTATGGAGTTGTCACCATAAGGAAGCAGGGCAGCGGCAGCAAGCGATGAAAGGTTATCTCGAATAAGAACGGTTACAGCAGGTGAGGTTGTGGACAAATGAAGGAATGGTTTTGTTGTTACTGTGTGATAAGAACAGGAACAAATGAGAGTTCGGAGAAGTGGACGATGTTTCACAGGTTTCTTTTTATGGGCCGTTGGAACGATGTCTCTCTTTGTCATGTCCTCCCACTTCCTGTGACTCACACGTTCACAGCTCGCCTCAACACTCTTTAACATCTTGTAACCGTAACGCTACTGTGTAAAAGCCAAGGGGCACAGGCACATATTTTTGTACCGCTGCCTGTGAATAAATAGAAAAGAGAAGTCCTCCTCACTAATTTACGTCTCGACTTCTGACTGCATCTAGAGTATCTTCATCCTCCATTATCAACATGTCTTTTATTCACTCCACTTCCCTATGAATTCAACTGCTTATTGTCGTCGTCATCTGACAGAACCTTAAGATACAAAGAAAGCATCAACAAAGTGTGGTTTCCTTGTTGCAACAAAATCCACCTGATTAGATGAGGCAGTGGATTTTCTGAGAGGGCAGCGCAGCCACTGCTGGTATAGGTAGAAACATCTGCCTCTTAGCAATTCAGCAAAAAGCTGAGTGATTGCTTTTGGTCAGTTTTTTTTTTCTGGTCCAAACCAGATTAAGATGTTATTGTTCTGCAAAATCTCAGATGGAGTTTCTGTGTGACAGAAGAATATACAGGCAGAATCAAACATTTGCTTCTAAAGGTGGGGGCCAAGGGGGTTCAGGAGAAACGGCTCCAAAGCTGATGTTGTTGTGATGAAAAACCGATGAAAAATGAACCTGGAGATTTGTTCCAACGGCTACCGCTGAACGGGATTCTTGTAGGCGGAGGATTGCTTCATAAGCTGCCAGGAGGTTTCTCATTAATCATAGGTCATAGTAGAGCACTTCTCCACTTGTACCACTCACTATGTAGTGTAGGAAAGACACTGAAGATGTCTTTTTTTCATCTGAGATTTAGTGAAGCCCCTAGGGATGTAAGAAAATATCAATGCATTGAAATATCGCAATATTTGGTTTTATGATACATTATCAATTCTACAGCAGTATCTGATTTATTATTAACAATTAACATGCAAATATTTATGGTATTGAGTGATTTTTGTGTTGCATTTAAACCTTTGGGACTTTGTATCAAACAATATTAGGTGTTTTTCCAAAAAAATCCTGCAAATGCTTTTATATTTTCTCTACAAAGGCAGATTCCTCTGTTTTAGTCAACCTGATGTTAAGAACGTAACAACATTGTGTGTTTACTATGCTGACAGTTTTCCAACAATTAAACTGTTTAAAAAAACTCAATATATCATCGTTCCTATAGTATCGCAGTATATCGCAGTATATGGTATTCTTGCCATTGTATTCTGATACGTTTTGTACAACCAGACTCTGGTCAATGCACACTCCCAGAAGCCACACTGTCCACATTTCAACATTTATGGATAATGTGTTTCACTGCTCACACTGTAAACTGGATTAAACCAGACATTTGTTCTCTGTCATTAACACAAATTAGACAACTTTTTTTATTGCGTCTAGATTTAGGGGTCAGTGTTACGGACAGCTCCCCCTGCTGGTACTAATCCTGTCCATACTAGTGAAAACAGAACGTCTTCCAGCTGCTGACCTCCTCAGGGTTCACCATAGGGGATAAATCCTGTGATTTAAAACAGGCTACTATCGCAGACGCCCTCCCTGATGCAACCATCCCCATTTCTGTGGGCCTGGAAACGACAACACGTACAAGTGTTGCTGGGTGTAATGAGAAAATGAGGTTAAGTGTATTGTCCTGGGAGAAACCACACGCTGCTGAAACCACATTCTCTGCCTCCTGATTGGATGATAAATCCCTTTTACCCACTGACCTTTGGTTGCCCCTCGACTCAACCTCTAAAAACAGCCTTTAGTTCCAACTTTTATTTGTAAATGTAATAGATTCCTGCGAGTTATTTAAAATTCACGATGGTGTGTTAGTGTGTGTAGGAGGGGTTAGAAAATTGAAATGGGATTTTATTTCTACTCTTCTCTGTCATACAACAGAAAATGACCTTTCCAAATGGAGGCTGCTGCTTTTCATATGAGTCACATTAGCCGACTGATGATTCCGCTCTCGTACGACAGTGCTGCTGGGTCACATGACACATCTACTGTATATTTCCTCGGTGATGGATCACCTGGAACCTCAAGCACATTTGCAGACACGTGTCAGACTGGAACGGGAGAAAGCCGCTGACTAAATGTACAGGTTGGCAGCGCTAACGGTAAAGTATTGTCAAACGGCAGTGCGCTCATTACTGTAATTACTGAACAATTAACTACGGCGGTGCCTTGGAGTTTTCAAGGTGGAGGCTGAACTTAAAGGTTGCGTTACATTCTTACTTAAGATATTGGTTATGAAAATGTATTGGAGGCGTGCCGGGAGATTTATTGTGTAGCATTAGCAAGGTCTTCACTGCAGCATAAAGGATGATATATAACACAGAGTGTGTCCTCTGAAGGTGTTAGCCCTCACACAGCCCATACTGGGACTTCACTCCCACTTGATCTCCAGCCAAACATCAGCTTTCTTGGCAGACGGTGAGCAGTTTTTTCTCAAGATCATTTTGTTTACGATGCTGTTAATACCCTGTGTTACAACACAGACACGAGACCTGCACTGGTGTTTTAAAACACAGCCCAACCTTGAAGTCATGTACTCTTCATGAGGACTGTTGTTGTGTTCTGAAAATGTGGCCTTTACTCGACCTTTAGCGTCGCTTGACTTTTCTTGGTGCTCATCATGAAGAGTGGCTGCTGCTAAATGTTACCATAATGTCATCGGGAGATTATTCATCGCCTGCTGTTCAACGTTTTCTTCTTATTGAGGCAGTTCTGTGCCACACTGATGCCTTAACAGGTGCCCAATACATAAAACATTCATGTGTGTCTGTTCTGTTGTTAACGGCAGCGTGTGTGCACGTCACACCGACAGATGACCTGATGGGGCCAGTATAGTGAAGTGTAGAATCAAATGTTCTTTTCCTACAAACAAATCTCTGTCTGTCCGTCTGTCTGTCCGTCTGTCTGTCCGTCTGTCTGTCCGTCTGTCTGACTCTCTACCTGCCTTCCTTCCTTCAAACGTCACTGCTTGCCAACCTCCCTAAGCTACCCACCTCCCTGACTACTGTCATTTCCATGCTATAAAACACTACTTTGTTCACACGCTTTGAACCCTGTAGCTTAAACAATGATGCGGCTAATTTCTGGATTTTTACGGGCTAACAAAGTTCATACCGCTAGCGATCAATGCCTTATCTGGTAGGCTACTGTGTGTTATACTAGTAGCGTACGTCTGTCTGTGAATGGCTGTGTGTATATATGTGCGTGGGAAGAAAATGTGAGTTGGTTATACAGGAGCTGTTAAAACTCTGTTTCTGTTCTGTTGTGGTCGGAGTGGCTGATAATAAAGACCCCAACTTCACTGTTTCTGTTTACCTCTGAGTTAGCCCTGGAGCTAATGTTAGCTTCAGCCCTGGAGCAGATCACTAAGTCTGCCATGTGCATTCCAACTACGGTCGGGGCGCTGAAGCAGAAAAG